CTCTACCCAGGGTGACAGCTTGAGGCTCTGTCTCAAAAAAACAAACAAAAAAAACCCCAAAGCAAAGCAAATGACCAGCTAGGCTTGGTGGCTCATGCCTATAATTCCCAACACCTCTGGGAGATTGTGGATTGCTTGAGCTCAGGAGTTCGAGAACAGCCTGTGCTAGAGTGAGACTATGTCTCTACACACACGCACACACACACAAAGCCAGGTATTGTGGCAGGCGCCTGTAGTTCCAGCTACTCAGGAGGCTGAGGCAAAAAGATTGCTCTAATCCAGGAATCTGAGGTTGCTGTGAGCTATGATGCCACAGCACTGAGATTCTGTCTCAAAACAAACAAACACAGCCCAAACTCTACAAAGATGGAGGTCAGGCCAGTCTCAGCATGCGTTGGCTGCCAGGCCTGGAGGTGGTCCTACACAAAGTTCTGGTAGCTCGACATTCCCCAATTCCATGGCGAGTTAAGTACTTTGTTGAGAATAGATTAGGCTGAAAATTCCTTTTAATATGGTTATTTGGCCTCAAACAGCTTTGGTAAACATGCATCTATCTTACCAAATTTCTGGACCCTAAAAAGATAGGGCCTAATGATGAACACGAGTAGTCTAAGTTTGAGACCCTCTTACTTTCAGGTCCTCATGCCTCTCCCTTGTTGTATCAGTTCATATTTGGCTGTTCCAACCACTATAGACTTGAGGATGGAAGAAATAGAAGTAAAAGGCAAATAGGGAGTCGGGAGGATTGGATTCATGGTCCCCTTTAGTCATTTACTCATTTTATGACTTCAGGAAAACCACTTTCTCATCTTTCCTATCCCATTTTCTCTATCTGTAAAACAAAGGAAGTAGATTCGATGACCAATTTTGCTTCTACCTCTGAAAGTCTATCAAACCAGAAATTACAGTATACTGTGAGAAAGCGGGCCCATTCTCTCAATCCCAGGACTGTTGATTTTTTTTTTCTTTTTTGAGGGTCTTACTTTGTTGCCCTCGGTAGGGTGCCAGGGTGTCATAGCTCACAACAAACTCAAAACTCTTTGGCTTAAGTGATTCTCTTGCCTAAGCCTCCCAAGTAGCTGGGACTACAGGTGCCTGCCACAAAGCCCAGCTATTTTTTTTGTTGTGTTTGTCATTGTTGGTTTAGTGGGCCTGGGCCAGGTTTGCCCCAGTGTTATGTGGCTGTTGCTGTAACCACTGTGCTACAGGCACCAGTGGTTGTCCTCTCATCTCAGCCTTCCAAGTAGCTGGGACTACAGGCCTGCCACTAAGGCCTGGCTATTTTTAGAGACAAGATCTCTCTCTTGCTCAGGCTGGTCTCAAATTCCTGAGCTCAAGCAATCCGTTGGTCTCGGCCTCCCAGAGTGCAAGGATTATAGGCATGAACCACCACACCCGGCAGCATTGTGATTTCTAGTATCTTCCTATGTATTGGTATTTGTTTAATCATGAAAGTGGGACAGATACCCTACATATTTATGTTAAGGTCCTGGTTATTTTACTGCTTCATTAGAGCAAATTAATAAGGATAAAATAAAAATTTCCCTACTGAAGCTTTGTAATTTATCCATCATGATATTTTGACTTGAATAATTCATTTAAGTACCTACGACGCTTTTATGCCCCATGGTAACATTGATATATACAATACATGACTGAAAAGAAAATCAGGAAATACAGAACATTTGTTACTGCAAGCAATTTTAATACAAAAGTGTGTCTCGTTTTTAAACAGTTCATTGGTAGAGCTTCGGTTTCTGCCTCAATTAAAACCAATTGAGATAATCACACAGCAACATGGTCGGAGCTGAAGAGGAACAGCAGCTAAAAAACAGGAGCCCCAGACAGCCCCTCTTCATGGTCACTTGGTCAGTTGACTTTATTACACACAAAAAAAGACGAAAGCAAACGGGACTGGTTAACAAGTGTGCTGGTGAAGTCCATTAAAGGGTGAGCAAGTGCTTTTCTCTTATGTCCACATTTCCAGAAGAGGTTTGTGGAATTCATTCTTCAGTTTGTGGGAAGTTGATCGACCATTTAAATAAATAGCAAAAATGTAGATAAACAAATCCATATAATTCACAATGGCACCCAGGAGCCCCCCTTGCCAAGGGTCTGGGTCCCAGTGAACACGAGAGTTATCGGTGGCTAGGCTGGGTAGGAAGTTACAAATCAGTTCAAAACCCTTCTGCTCTGACATTTTCTGAACGGTTACATTTACCCCTGAATTCTAGCAGCTATTTGTCCTTTAAACACCCTGTACTGAAACAAGATCCAAAGACAGTATTGCAATGAACTCCTTTTGATGTTATCATGTGCAAATGTTACTTAATGAGGTTCCCTCTCTTCAGCTAAAATCACAACATTAAAACAATGAGAAAAGCAATTTTAAGTGTCCTCTCTTCAGTTCTTGTTAATTGAGGTGTCTGTGATTTACAAAAAAAAAAAAGAGTTCCTTAAACACTGCAGGATTCTTATTTTTTTTAATATAATTTATCTTGCTGAGACAGCAAGTAAAGTTTATAAAGAAGATGCATTTAGGAATAATCCTAAAAGATAAAGCAGGTTTTCAACCCTGCACCGCGCAGAAACCCTATTTATATGCTTTTTTTTTCCTAATACACATTTGCATCTTGACCTTTTCACTTGTTTTTCTCAAATATTTCATTTCTGGACCCCATCCATTACAGGGTTACCAGGAGGCAAATTTTATCTACATAAATATTCACATGAAAATAGTAACTTACAAAAAGAAAAAAAAATAAGGCAGCTTCTTAACACAATTATTCTTTTACACTTTTAACAATATAACTTCTCCTGTTCAGAATAAATATACACCCAATGTATGGAGGACTCAAAGTGGAGAGTGGCTGGGGAGTGGTGGACAGTGTTATCGCTTGGGACCCGGAGTCCTGGGAGAGGCAGTGGTGGTCTTCTTAGACATGGTGGGGATTTTGGAAGGTTTGTTTAACCCTCTCCTGGAGCTGCCTTGGCCCCCAGCAGCACTGCTTTCTGAAGTGTCTGAACAAGCGGACTGCGTCTCTAAAAGGTCAAAGTCAGAGGCGTCGCTTCCTCGCCGGCTGCTGGCTCGACTCCCGGCTCGACTCCCAGCCCGACTTCCAGGGCGACTGGCTGACTTTTTAGGGTCTGGAATTTAAGAATAAAACAGTATACTTAGAGAGACTGCATGAGGTGGAAGAACAAATGACCAGAGGCCAGGATTCTGATCTGCTATGTGACCTTCGGATGATCACGGACTTTCTGCACCCCAGTTTCCTCACTTACACAGAAGTCACCAAATCCTTTTCTAGAGGTGTAATTCTACATGAGAAGCTGCTTCCTGAGGGGTAGAAAGTTGCTTCTATCAGCAGCACCATTACCTTACATGACCCCAAAGTGGAGTCAACAGAGTTGCTCGATCACTCTAGCATAGGTGGTGAGCCTACCAGCTGGGCTAATCCACTGGCAGACCGACAGTGGAGGTTGGGTGATGGGAAGCAGGGAGCCAGGAAGTGAATCCCAATCCCTAGGTCCCCCTGAGGAACAGCAGCAGGTGAACAGATGTGATCCTCCCCTGTTCCTTTCCCAGTTCACCAGCAACCACAATAAATACGAGGCGTTGGAAAAGTCATTAGCAAGCGCCAGCCCAATGCTGCACTGGCTTCTGAGGAAGACTCGCTTTATAAGGCCCTTTCTTTTACTTTTCTTGTAACCATTTGTGATCAAGAACAGGTGGTCATCTAAAAAACTACCGGTCTTTCTTTCTGGGCATCATGCTAAGTGCTACTCTTACTATGAGATCCTTTGGAGCAGTGAAGCATTGCTGACAGGCAACTGTTTCTAGACTTGACTTGGTCATACCCTCTCACTCCTCAGCCCAACACATAGGTCATGGCAGGTACCTACCTGCTCGATTAGTTTTGGCACCTGTGGAGGCTGGGGAAGAACTATTGCTGGTATCACCAGCAAGAGATGTTCGACTAGAATGAAAAGTTGGTGTTGGTCGTTTCAACTTGCTGCTTGTTGATGGGATAACCTTAAATAAGAAAATTGTAAAAAGGTTACATTTACTTGATTAAATCTTTGTTAGAAATTCAATTTTAAAAAGGCCTCCTTAAGCCTCCTTATGACTGATCATTTGAAAAGCAAATTAAAAGTCCAGGAAAACAAAGATTTATTTTGAAAATATCCCAGGTCATGTATTTTGATGATTTCCAAAGTGAAGGTTTTATGTTCCAATTAGAAATTTCAAAATGTCTTCTAATACCTTTTGCCTTGCAGACAAATTTTCCCTTGAAGGGGGGGGGCGTTCAGATAGTAAGAGTATAACAGTTATTAACCATCTGAAGAGCGGTGAATGAGCAAAAGAAAAAAACCAATTCTATGCCATCGCTATTTTGGGGTTAGAAATTTGTAATGAGTTTTAGACCCTCATGTTTAATACAGGGTGGCCATAAAGTCTGTGTGCAATTTTAAATGGCATACTATTTTCAATTGCACATGAATTTTATGGCTACCCTGTACAGAGATTCAAATATTACTCCAGTGTTTCTCAATAAACAGGTGCAGTAGCTTTAGTCAAGTTCTTGACTTGTGAATCAAATAAAACTATGAGAGGCACATGACAGTGAGGCTATGCTACAGGGAACAAGGTTCAAAATGAGGAGCCAGGACACCTAGGTTTGAGTCTGGGACCCATGACTGATGTAAATTAACACCTGTATCTTTGTTTCTCCTGTGAGAAATGAGAGACAAATTTTGCTTCTCCACTTCATTTCTTTTTTCCCTTTTTAAAAAATTGAGACAGAGTCTCACTTTGTTGCCCTTGGTAGAGTCCCATGGTGTCACAGATCACAGCAACCCCAAACTCTTGGGCTCAAGTGATCCTCTTGCCTCAGCCTCCCAAGTAGCTGGGACTACAGGCACCGCCACAATGCCTGCTTTTTTTTTTTTTTGTTTTTTTAAGAGACAGGGTCTTGCTCTTGCTCAGACTGGTCTTGAACTCCAGAGCTTAGGCAATCCATGTGCCTCAGCCTCCCAGAGTGCTAGGATTATAGGCGTGAGCTACTAGTTACTATGCCCAGCCTCTCCAGCTTCGTTTCTGCCACATTCCTCGTGATCAGGCCACCCTAACCATACTTGGTCTCCTGGCTTTTCCTCCACTAGCCCTGGGAGGGTAGGGTCCCTGGTCTCTTCTTGCTGCTTGCTCTGCCTGGACTATTGGAGCACAAACCCTTCTCCAGATACAAGTATGGCTTCCTTCCCATTCCCTGTAGGGACTGGGAGGGGGCTTGCCTCCTTTCTCCAATGACACTCTTAATAAATCTCCATTCTCTTCCCTGGCTTCATTTTTTTGCACAGTACTTATCAATGCCTGACATATGATATGGTTGTTTGCTGCCTGCTCTCTCTCATTAAAGCATAAACTCCATAAAAGCTGGGACTTTGGCTTGTTCACTTTCACATGTACCTAAAACTGTCTGGCACAGCAGGTGGACTCAATAAAAACTTGTTGAATAAATGATGTATAGAAGCACTTCCCAATCTGGATATTATTATTACTGTTATCAGTAGGTTCTGATTCTATTTAAGGTTCTATTTGAGTGGGCTTTTTTAAGATAGTAGACTTCATTTGGAGAAAAAATATTTTACATCTCTTTTACTCTTTTAAATATCACTCATGGCACAACTTGCTATTCCAATTTTTTTTTTTTTTTTTGAGACAGAGCCTCAAGCTGTCCCCCTGGGTAGAGTGCCGTAGCATTACAGCTCACAGCAACCTCCAACTCCTGGGCTCAAGCGAGTCTCCTGCCTCCGCCTCCCAAGTAGCTGGGACCACAGGCGCCCACCACAACGCCTGGCCCTTTTTTTGGTTGCAGCTGTCATTGTTGTTTGGCGGGTCTGGGCTGGGGATTCGAACCCGCCACCTTAGGTGTACGTGGCTGGCGCCTTAGCCGGTTGAGCTATAGGTGCCGAGCCGCTATTCCAATTTTTGATATTAGTTGTATAAATTGTTTTCCAGGACCTTTAAATGTTTACACACATAGACGAGTAAGGCGACCCATCTCATTGTGTGTTGTATTATTTCTTTAATTTACAAAGAAAAAGCAAAAGCGACAGAAAGTGATTAACAATCAAGCACAGACCCTCCTGGCCAGACAGGAGGAAGATCACCAGTTTCAGAAGACTAGTTAAGTCTGGTGAAGACTCCAGCTAGGATTCCAAGTCAGGAACGGCCTGGCTACGAACACCAAAATCAGTAAGGCAAGATGAAACCTCAAAAGGAAATAAAATGAAAGATAAAATCTTAAGACAAAACATAAAGGGTGATTTATCAGAATTGTATGAGAATTTGTATTTTATAATTAAACATTTAAAATTTTAGAACTTTTGAGATTTTCACAAAACTGGAGTCATTAAGGAAGAAGAAAAGCAAGATAAGCAGGGTGAGTCGTGACAGTCGGTCCCCAGACTGTGTTCTAAACCAGATATATTTCTGCACTGGAGCTTTAGCCTGGAGTGGGAGAAACCCCAAAGCACAGTTCATTCACAGGCAGTGGCTTCCTGTGCCTCTGGTTTCTGTGGCTGAGGCTTTACATGACTCAAGGCAATACTGTATTTTGAGGCCCAAGAACCCAGTGCTTCCTGGGAGCTAGACTGCAAATAGTACTGCTATCAGACAAGCCATTTTGAGTCCACATTTTCTTTCTGAAACACTGTTGCTCTTCCAAAAATGTTTAGGCATTTTAATGGTTATACTTAAACATGCTTAATTGCTGGCTTGTGTATTCAAATCAAGGCTACAGAAAGCCAAGTGCCTAGAAATTTAGAAAAAGAAATCCGAACCACAGAGCAGTGTTCACTGATACTGTGCTTGGCTGAGTAGGCAGCACCCATGCCTGGGCCCAGCGTGGCAACAGCAACCATCCTGGGGATGTCTCAGGGGAGGTGGCGCCAACCACTCTTAAGTTCTAAGCAAAGACAAAACATTGTGGAACATGCACCAGAGTTGAATTTCAAGTGTTCATAACTCGTGTATCTGACATGTGGAGATGCCAAGAAGCCTGATTATAAATGCTATCAATAACACAAACCGCCAGGAATGGCCACTGTTTACCAATCCTGAATAAATATTATGCTAAAGACAGTTATAAAGTTGTTAAACAATTTGGTTTTAGGCATCTCTTATTTATTTCCAATTTTGGTGAATCGAGTTAGAAACCCCTGAAAATGCTCGACTAGATGAATCAGCTGTGTCAGCAAGCACCAGACACGGGAGAGAGCAGGAACTCGTGTCAGGAAGAAGAGCTGGTCAAGTTCATCAGCGAGGACCTCGTCTGGACCGTGTCCTTAGTCAGCAAAGCCATACTCTACCTCGGGGCTGGGCAGCTGGAGGTCAGGAGAATGGCTGTCCCTCATAGGGGTGCCAGCTTTACTGTTTACCAACCAGGGTTTGTCATAACAGCGAGAGAACTGAAGCAGAGTCTGTGAAACGGAAATCCAAAGGGAAGGACGGGAACAATTGAAAATGGAACAGAAACGAACAAATTTGGTACAGAAAAAAACAAATAGAAAATACCAAACTGTGAAGAAACAGAAAACAAAATAAAATGTACATCTGTCCAATGGGTTGAGAGGGACCAGGCAGAAAAGGCAACAGTATTCTTCACACAGAACCCACTGGAACATCAGACTTATCTGTCAGCTTTAGCAACACAGACAGTGCCTGGATTCCCAAAGTACTAACTCTGCATGGGCTCAAACTCAAACTAAGAATATAAGGAAAGAAAGATTTCTGACTTAACCAGCCTGAGTGAATTATTTTAATTAATGTTTTTCGTAGTTATCTTAAAGGTCAGGCACCCGTGTATTGCCAGAACCTCAGCAGCATTTCTCCTCACTGTCATTGTTCAGAGGCTCCATCAAATGATGAACATCTGGAAAGAGAGAAAGGAGGAGGAAGGCCCTAGAAGAGGTCGGTACATACATACCTTGGTACCACTGGCTGGGGTGGCCGGAGAAGACGGCATAGACGTGCAGCTGTGGTTACTCTGACTAGCACTGGAGCTCGAGCGAGTTGGGGACGCTGCTCGGGACGATGGCTTGGACCTTCGGCCTCGTGATCGGAAAGGGGTCATTCCCTGGGATGCCCCCTCTGGTAGGATGAATTTCTCTCTGAGTTCGATGTTAGTTCTACCTCGTGCTAAAAAAAGAAATAAACACGTGTACAATGTCAGCCAGTCTTAAAGATATATTTTTAATGCTCATATAGCTGCTTGACCCCATGATATGAGTTACAGTTTAATACTGCCATCTGTGGGTTCTTTAAAAATAGAGATAAATTCACGACACATCTACCTTGTCAAGATTCTTACCTATGGCAGACATATCAACTAATAAGCCTCTTGTTTTGCTATAAGTAAGTCTCTGTGCACAGAGTACCATCCCATGCTGCTGTCATGATCTTGTTTTGCCATTGTCCCCTGGGGTAATACATGCTGTAATAGCTCAAGGTAATGCAGATGCAACAGTTCACACACCTCTGAAGTTAAATCAAAACCCTTCTTTTCTCTTTCATAGTACACGTGTACTTTTTTGCTTAGCTTCTACGGAATGCATGGTAATAAAATAGTAGAAAAAACCAGAATGCTGAAATTGACATTGTTCAGCATCTTCTATTTGAATTCAGTCAGTCCTAAAGAAAGGGGTCCAGGGACTCAGGCCGGTAAAAAGACCAGGATAGAATCATTCAGAAGTAAACATGTGGGGGAGGGAGGGAGAGAAAGATCAATACCATGCACAAACTTGCCAGTGAGAATGTTAAGTCAAAAACTGAAAGCAGTGAGAAGCTGAAGGGGCAGCCGCACACACAGGAACATCAAGGTGAAAAGATGTGGCAACAGCACTGAAGAGCAACAGTGTCAGTCCTCCTAGAGCTGTATGACCAGAACGTGAAACATAAATCTGCAAAGATCCCATTTACAGCCAATAAAAATGTTAAATGCACAAGACACTACTAATTTTAAAAAAGTAGTTCCTCTGGAGGCTGGGCGCCGTGGCTCATGCCTGTAATCCTAGCACTCTAGGAGGCTGAGGCGGGTTGATTGCCTCAGCTTGCGAGTTTGAGACCAGCCTGAGCCAGAGTGAGACTTAATCTCTAAAAATAGCCTGGTGTTGTGGTGGGCCCCTGTAGTCCCAGCTACTTGGGAGGCTGAGGCAAGAGGATCACTTAAGCCCAAGTATTTGAGGTTGCTGTGAGCTGTGATGCCACAGTACTCTACTGAGTGCAACAAAGTGAGATTCTGTCTCAAAAAAAAAAAAAAAAGAGAGAAATAATTCCTCTGGAATATGTCCTTAGAACACTACTAACTGAAAGATATATCTTGTGGTAACCCTCTAATTCCTCATGCTCCCTAAACTGTTCACTTTGGGGAATATACTAGATAGAGCTAAACAAATGAGACCCCAGGGGAAGCCTGGGAAAAGGAGACCATTATGAACAAAATCTTTGTCATTCTTTTCCACATTAGATTTTTTACTCTGGTCAGAGTGTATAAATTGAGAAGACTTAGGTAACTAGCCCACTTTCTCTTCCTACCCAATATACCCTTCAAGGAATTGGAGAAATCTTGGTAGAAGGGATTTTAAAATAGGTTGCATGAGTGTTCAAGCACAGAGGTTCCAAATTCCTAAATCAAATTCAAATTCCTCTCAATATGTCACATGCTGAAATAATTTATCAAAGTATCAGGTTAAAAGCACTAACTTGGACACTAAAACCTCTGTGTTAAACCTGTAAAGTCCAAGCTCTGTGGCTATCAGGATCCTTCCTGTTCTGGGGTTCCATCTCCTCAGGGTCACCAAAGGTGATCGGGATGACCCGTCTCTAAGAGCCCTGCTTGTTGAGATGGTCTGTGAAAATGGTCCCTGAAACGCTAAGCTGTTTCCTTCCATGACCCCGTGTTTCCTTCCTTCCCAGGCCCCCGTAAAAACATGCCCTTCCAGGTTCATTCCTTGGCCCGTGGTTCTCTACTCATTTTCCAGATTTCAGCACCTTACTGTGTGCGTAACTAAAGACTCCTAGAGAAGAGAGAATTCCCTTCAGCACTATCTTGGGTACTTTAGTAAGGCTTCACATCACTGATAACTTGTTGGAATACTGACTTAACATTTATTTGTCTTGTGCTTGTTCAAGTCCCCAGAACGATGATGCAGAAGCACTGAGAGAACACTCATGAATGAGAATCATTTAATCAGCTGAGGATTTGGACACCCTAAAAGAGCTATTTGTGGCCCTGAGCCACAGAGAACTTCAGATGTGTGCTTTGACCCTGGCAAACATTTAACAGTTTACTTCTAAGCAAACTGCCAGAAAACAACAACAGAGTGATCTAAGTTTGAAATGGCATCTCAGTTGAGGGCAGGGACATGTTAAATGTTTTAGCGATGGCTTTCTGTGATAATGTAATGGTCACATCCTGTTCCCTATGTACTGGGCAATTTACAAAGTGTGATCCCATGCAACACTGTGCTTCACTGTCATTGGCATCCCCATGTTACAGCAAAGGAACGGAACTGTGCACAGAGGCTGAGGTCAAACAGGGCTGTGGCGGAGTTGGGACCAGACCCCACATCTTCCACCTGAGCTGTCCTTTCGTCCCCATACTCCAGCTGCTCCCAGCCTACCTGCTGGCCTCACCACCTGCACTAGCTGTCTCCAAGCCTCCCCTCAGACCACTCAGGAAATTTCTCTGGCAAAGGTCACCAATAACCTCTACTCAGGAGGTAATGTTTTTTAAATTGTGGAAAGGCTGAAATATACAGAAAAGAAAAAAGAGTAAAAATTGCTTAATCTCACAACTTGGGAGATACCATTATTAAGATGTCAGTTGAGTTGTTATTACTTTGTATCTATTTTTAACTAAAGAAAAAAATCAAGGAACTTTCCCCCATGCTGTATGCATGTCACATTAAACTTCAATTAGCTGCAAAGTATAATTTCATCATATGGACATCAATTCACTTAACCAGTCCAATGTTGCATTTTTATTTAAATTTTTTAAGCATTGCATTTGGTGCTATGGTAATATGAGAAACCTTTTTGTGTACATCTACAATATTTCTTTTTTGTTTACAACAAGAGTCTCACTTTGTAGCCCTAGGTAGAGTACTATGGCATCACAGCTCATAGAAACCTCAAACTCCTGGGTTCTAGCCATTCTCTTACCTCAGTCTCCAAGTAGATGGGACTACAGGAACCCACCACAATGCCCTACTATGTTTTTTTGTTTGTTTGTTTTTTAGAAATGAGATCTTGCTCTGGCTCAGGTTGGTCTTGAACTCGTGAGCTCAGGCAATCCACCTGCCACAGCTCCAACAGTGGTAGGATTACAGGCGTGAACCACTGTTGCCCAGCACAATTATTTCCTTAGGATCATTTTCTACAAGTAGATCTGCTGGAAGGGTAAGGTAAAGTTTCACACTTACGGTAAAAACATGTCACTGAAGGTATGGCAACCATGTGCCATGGTTGATACACACCAAGTGATCTCCAAAATGTTATATCAAAGTATACTCTTCAAAAAAATGTGAGTATATTCAATTTACTTCATTCTGGCTACACTCTATCATTATTACTAAGTATGTGTACACACATGTGCGTGCAGGAGAAACATCTGATAATTATCAGGTAAAAACATCTTGCTATGGCAATTTACACATGGAGGGGCACTGCACTCTTCTTGGGGAAACACTCTCCTCCCTTAGCTTCATAGACATGGTCTCTTGCTTCTTCCTCCCCGCCTACTTCTTAAAACACAAGTTCCCTGGATCTGTCCAGTTTCATTTCCTTCTTAGGCTGGTGGTGAGCTCCTACGCCTGGGACTTGAGTGCCATCACAAGGTCATGCCCCCCTCTAAGTACAGATAGTGCCCAAAAAATATGAAGACATTTTTTAAGAAAGAAAAAAAATTGTTAAAATTATAATACTCAATATATACCAATTAACGTTTGTTAGCTCGTATCTCTTGTAATTGTAAAAGTCCAATGTGACCTGAGTACTACAATTTTAATAGTTTTTTCCTTGCTTAAAGTGTGTATATATTTTTTTGGCATGCTCTGTATATTCACAATGCAGACCTGCCCTCTGGATGTCAGAAGTTACATCCAATGACTGATTAGATCTGACAGAAGCCGGAAGCCTGGGAGCTGACGTAGGTTCCTCCTTCCACATGACAGTTCAGTACTGATTCTCCCCTCTAATGCCTCTTGACTCCCCAAACCTCTCCACACCCTCTTACACTTATCCCCATCAGGCTCCTCATCTCATTACCCACCCAACCCTCACTCATTCTGCAGAATTAATTTCTAAATAAAAATCTGGTATCTCTAAACAGCTCAGAATCCTTATACGGCCTTTCAGTGGTTACATCAGAATTTCCCAAACTGAGGGTTTTGATGGTTTTCCTACAAAAAGTGTTTGTAAACACTGTACTCTACATTTCCCACCTTAGAAGGGCCTTCATGCAAATTAGCATTTTATAGGTGCTAAGAAGTCCTGCGGTAAAAGAATCCAGTTTAGATTTAATCTGGCATCTTCCAAATGTATTTGACTGGCCGGGTACAGTGGCTCATGCCTGTAAACCTAGCCCTCTGGGAGGCCAAGATAAGTGGATTGGTTGAGCTCCGGAGTTTGAGACCAGCCTGTGCAAGAGCAAGACCCTGTCTCTCTGAAAAAAATAAAATAGAAAAAACTAGCTGAGCAATGTGGCAGGCACCTATAGTCGCAGCTACTTGGGAAGCTGAGGCAACAGAGAGACCCTATCTCAAAAAAAGGGGACTGCAATAGATTGGTCAACATTCGGAGGTGGTCAACATAAGGAACTGGGCCTACTGTACTGCATATGTGGTGCATGTCTGGTCTATGAAAATTAGGTCCCCTAATGAACAGAATGGTGAGGGGACAATCCTATCTCTGAACCTACAGGACCAGATCCTGGTGGCAAACATTTTAAGTTCAGTCTTTTTTTTTTTTTTTTGAGGTAGAGTCTTACTACATCACCCTGGGTAGAGTACCATGGTGTCACAGCTCACAGCAACTTCAAACTCTTGGGCTTAAGCGATTCTCTTGCCTTAGCCTCCCAGTAGCTGGGACTACAGGTGCCTGTCACAACACTTGGCTATTATTTTTTGTTGTTGCAGTTGTCATTGTTTAGCTGGCCTGGGAAGAGTTCAAACCCATCAGTCTCAGTGTATGTGGCTGACACCCTACCCACTGAGCTATGGGAGCTGCCTCAAGTTCAGTCTTTTCAACCACCAAAGGAGCCATCATTAATCTGAGAGAGTTATGCTGGCCACCTGATATTGGCTTGAGTAAGCATGTTAGTTAAAATTCAGTTCTAAGCTATCAATAGGTACAGAGTTTTAGTTTACAAGATGAAAAGAGTTATGTGGAAATACTTAAAAATGGAAAGCTTTATGTTATATATATTTTACAACAGTTTGAAAAAAATTCTATTGGCTGGGCTCGGTGACTCATGCTTATAATCCTAGCACTCTGGGAGGCCAAGATGGGGGGACTGCTTGAGCTCACGAATTTGAGACTAGACTGAACAAGAGTGAGACCCTGTCTCTACTAAAAATCAAAAACTGAGGCAAAAAGATTGCTTGAGTCCAAGAGTTTGAGGTTGCTGTGAGATATGACACCATGGCACTCAGTACTAAGGGTAACATGGTGAGACTCTGTCTCAAAAAGAAAACAAAAATCAGTTCTATGCCAAATTTCTGTGTCTTTTAAATCTTCATAGGTGAAGTTTTCTAGATCTTCACTGATTTTGAGTCCCAAGCTCAAAAACATACAGTATCCCAGGTACAGATACAACCATTGTTTAGGCAGGAGCACTGTTTTAATCTCCACCTAAATTAAAAAAATCTTCACTTCCTTTGCCATGGATAAATTCAGAAACTGAAAACTCTGATTTTGGCAGTAATAGGAGAACTGGCACACCTACCTACTAGAGTATTTTCACCTTTTACATTTGGCTAAAACAACATGCAGTTTAAGATATTTTTCATCTTTAAAAACATCTGTGTAAATAAATAGAGATAACAAATGACAGTGGACACTGACATTAAGAACCTTGTCATAAACTCTGTAGTGTCTTCTATATAACAAAATGAATACACAATCTTCCATAAGCAGTGCACAAAGAATCCTTGATAGCTTCAAGCAACTTCTCTTTTTGATATCCATACCCTTCCAACTCAATTATAATCTACCCTAGTCCTTAGTTTAATTTCTTAGCACTATTTTTTATTTGATTAGAAATGGCTCGTCCTGCCCATCACTGGTAGAGTTAAGGAATCTATCACTGCTGTGGATTTCTCTACCCCACAGTCAGCGGATCAAGATGATTACTGAGCTCTAGGACAGCACTCCCGGAGAGAGATAGTCTTACCTTGTTTGTTCCAAGGGATGCTGAAAAGGCTATTTCCATAGGAAATAGCTATGGCCCTCCCACATTTCCTTAGGGTTTCAATTTTAGATTTTAAGATAAAGACAAAGCAAGCAGTACTCTCCTTGGCCAGCAGCACAATGATATCATAAAAGAGCAGGCAGCAAATAAACAGGCAACCAAGAGTTCCAAAATGCCACATGCAGTGTTTGCTTTTTTTCAGTCTAATCAGACATGACAAGAAAAATAAGACCTTATTAACAGATTTAGAAAGGAATGAAGTTGTTTTGTTGAGTTCAAATTAAAATAATATAAACTGTCCCTCATTTAGAACAATAGAACAAGACTTTTAAATCAAGGATGTTCATTTATAATTAAATTCTCAAAAGCAATTAAACCCATTCAAGTTTTTATTAGAAAAGTATTTTCAAAATTATCTATTATTTATTTATTTATTTATTTTGAGACAGAGTCTCATTTTGTCGCCCTCAGTAGAGTCCTATGGTATCATAGCTTATAGCAACCTCAAACTCTTGGGCTCAGGTGATCCTCTTGCCTCAGCCTCCCAAGTAGCTGGGACTATAGGCGTCCCCGACAAGGCCTGGCTATTTTTTAGAGATGGGGTCTTGTTCTTACTCAGGTTGGTCTTGAATCTGTAAGCTCAGGCAATCCACCTGCCTCATCCTCCCAGAGTGCTAGGATTATAGGTGTGAGCCACTGTGCCTGGCCCAAAATTATCTATTCTTTAAAAAAGGAACTTTTAATAAAAATTATTACCGCTTAGCTTTGACTCAGGTTCACTGGAGTAAACTCAGAAATCAGTTATAAGAGAGGAACTGTAATATTTACGGGCACATCTGAATTCATGTGAGAACTGTTTCCTTTAGCTCTGTCCTCACTAAATGTTTCAGAATGACTATAACCCAGTTCTAAAGAAGTTATATAACTATACTATAAACATTTATTTCTGCTAGGTTTATAAATAAATCTTAATAATTTAATTATGCTAGCTGGACCAATAATACACACACAGAAAGGGGGTATGTCAGCCTTTGAGACTCACAGCAGGGTAGTTAGGCACACATACTCTAAAGCCAGATTGTCCTGTGGTCTTGCTTCGGCAGCCATCTGACTTAGAAGTATCTGGGCTCACTGGTAGGTGTCCTTTATCCTTCTCCTGGTCAAGGGGCCTTGATCTCCTGTCTCTACTATTTACTAGTTATTTGTTCTGGGACAAGTTACTTATACTTTCCATTTCTTGACTTCCTGTACTATAAAATGGAGCTAATAGTATCTATAATTCATAGAGTAGTCATAAGCCAGAAATGTGTCATATGTAATTATAATTGTGTACAGCACATAAGGCTATACAAGCATTTCTTAAATAAATAGAAACTCAGAACAAATTCCATGGATACTGTACTACATACATAGAAAAGCTACAGTTCAGCTATTTCAAGCATTCAAGAAGGCAGCAGATAACACAGAGCCAAGAGGTGTTAACAGTTTAAGAAGCAAAGCCATTCTCAACAGGCGAGGGTGTGGGAAGAGGGACAAAGCTTAGAAGCCAACCTATGGGAGACTGACTGGAAATCGAAGAACTGGAATCAGAGCGCTTTATTTTACTCCCAGGATGGTGAACTAGAATAAAAAATATGTAAACACAAAGAAACAGAGACAGAGCAGGAAATGCAGAAACTAGTCAAGAAAGACAAATTGGCAGACAGTCGGGGAGCCTTCTGTACACCCACATGCAGCTTTGCTAACAGGAAAAAGGAAAGGACACAGCTGAAGAGGGTTTGCCAGCTGGACTTGGTTACTCTGCCTAGGGCAGCCTCCACACAGGTGCCTCCACTTGTGCTCATATTAGACCAAGGGTGCTCTTTCCCCTCTGGGCTGGTGGGCCAGCCTTTCACACTTAGCAGAAAGACACCCTGTGGTCTTGCTTAGGCAGCCATCTGACTCTCAAGTGTCTGGGCTCACTGGTAGGTGTCCTTTATCCTTCTCCTGGTCAAGGGGGGTCACCAGTCCCTACTTGTATGGGAAGGTCCCAACAGTCTCCCTTAGTTTCAGTCATAAGAATCGTAGGCAAAGGATATGAGGCACTGAGAGGAACTTAAAGGGTTTTGTCAGGCTAGTATGAATTTAATGCTCCAAACAAAAACTTTTGGGTAATACTACTACATTCTTAATTCTCATCACTGCATTCTTTTTCAACTGTTTAAACAGGATCAACCTTTCCAGCTTTTTCTCCCTGGTCTATTATGGCTCCCTCAAGTTTTAATCTGAGCTAGTGGGATGATACCTGGGCAGCTAACAAAAAATGTAAAACAGCCCCCCGCCCCTATGCTGATACTTTCTGTAAGTATGAAAGATCAGTGGTGAGGGGGCACCCAACACAAGATTCATGATCAGGATGGTTCCTTACCTCGGCAGGGATCATTTTTCACTAAAAATTCATCCAAGGCCATCCATCCTCCACCAACTCGAACCATCACTGTGCTGCGCAGGATACGGACCAGCCGCAGCTGCTGGGAGTCCCCAAACTGCAGAGTCAGGTGGAAGTTGAATTAATAAGTGCACTGAAAGCAGACCTGTATTTTTTTTCTAAAGCAGACTGTATTCAGATAGCAATGATAATCCAGTAGCTTTGGGAGAACTTCAAACTCTGACTAGTTTTCATTTTTACATTTTTCTCTAAATGTTTAAAAACAAAGAAAAGCTTTCTACAGGGATAAAGTTAACTTTTGATAGCCATACCCTGTACCAAAAACAGGGAGGATGGGCAAGTGTGTTGGCTCACTTTTTTTTTTTTAAAAAAGCAGATTCTGGCCAATGAAAACTCCAAATTTTTTGTTATGCTAATTTGCTTTCCTAAAAGAAACGTGGTGGATATCAACTTCTGAATACAGTGTGCTCAAAAGTGAAATGGAAAACAGCAAGTACTGTTTCGAGCTTTAAAGAAACCCTTGCAGAGCATCATTATTACAAGCTTAGAAGAAAATGTGATTTTCAACATCAGGTTTTCAGAAATAAGCCCTAAGTATTCCCTAAATGCAGTGTCACAAGCAGAAATGTTTCTTTGGCTGAACAATTGATTAGATAGTATTTACAGTAAAATTTAGTTGAAGAAATTAAAAATTTAATCTCCCATAATGATTAAAAATAGTATTCAGTATTCATTTTGGATGTTACAACATATTTCTTTCTGATATTTACTTTTCCCTTTTCTTCTTGTCTAACATTCTGACTTCCCAGTCCTCTCTTAACATTTGGACTTTCTTGTTGTATAAATTATCCTCTTCCTAAAAGGAAGAGGCAAGAAAAGTGAGCTGAGATGCCAAAACAAACATCAACCATTTGGTTGGAGAGAGAGAATTTCTAGTTATTTAATTCAAGGAGAAATGTTCCTGGGGTATGGAGACTGGGGAGAAGGGACCATTTAGTTACTGAATTAGGATTTTTAAAGTTACAAAAGAGAATCATAACTTTGAAACAAGGCATGATAACTGAAAATGCAGGAAAGGATGTCTGAGGCCACATAACCATCCCCTCTCAAAACTAATTTATCTTGGGTAATTCTTGTATTTCTTAGCTGCTATGACTCAGATGCACTATGTGTATGGGCAAGGCAACTGAACCATACTGTATTCCATCCCACCCCAGTCCTTTACTTTAAAAATAGTCCCACATCTTTCATCTGGTACCATTTTAACAGTTCTATACAAAGTGACTACAGCAACAGGGCGGCATACAGAAGCAAAACTGACTCTGGAGTTGTGAGGGAAGAACCGTCCTGGGAAGGAAGCTGGCCTGCTGGCCTCTGTGGGAGCCCCTTAGAAGCTGGCCCAAGGAGAACGGGAGGCCTCCTGGGAGCAGGCTCTGGGAGGAATGGAGGATCCCACTAGACCCAAGAACAGCGACCTGTGTCACTGTACAGGGCTTTCTCTGGATGGCGAGGAGAGGAGGGAATGTACACCTGTGTGAATCGGGAAGGGATTCTGGGAGGGCTTTATTCTTCGAATACTATGTCTTATAATTTATCACTCCATTTATTTCATCATTTCTTTTCCCTTAATTTCTCACTGAAGTGCTATTTGAAAGATTCTAACTTGTTTCTTCTCGGCTGTGGGGAAAATGAGGTGTGACCCAAGCCAGCAGCCAGAGTAGCTGCAGAAGCTAAGGTCAAAGTAGTAAGTGGTAGGTGGGGTTATGACAGCTCTAAAAAGGGAGACCTGTGCACACCTGGTAGAACAGGGTTGCCAGCGCAGCAAAGAACTCAGTACAAGAGTCCTAGGGGCAGTAACCACTGTTCCCTCCTCTTAAAGAGAAAACCCATTACACGGACTTGGTTCTTGCTGTGGCTCTGACATTTACTGCATGACAGAAGGCATGTAATCTTTCAGGCCTCAGGTACCTTGGGTATAAAACAAACTTTGTAATTCTGTTCCCAACATTAGAACAAACTCACCTGACCCTCTCCTGGTTAATAAAGCAGTGAGAGGGTGTCAGTAACCTTTAAAGGTACCTTAGTACCTGCACGTGGTCATTAGCAAACAGGCTTACCAAGTGTTCTTATGGAATGGACTTTTTTGAAAGCCCATTTGATTGTTCATCGTTAGTTTTTTTTATCCTCTGTTCTTCTGGCTGGCCCAGAACGTTACTGTAGTTAGTGACTATTATAGTGCCTGGAACTTAACATTGTTAGAGAACCTCAAATCAACTCTCAGTGCTTCTAATTTTATATCAGAGAGATAGATTTTACTCATGCAATTTCCTTCCACATGTGAAGACACAGGACCCCAGAGCCCTCAAAAAAGATTTAAAAGGTTAGCGTTACCAAATGGAGTCAAAGCATCCAATCTTTTTTGTCAATCTAAAGACAAAATCCCAAAAGATGATCCCATTAGGTTTTGGCCAACTAGCCATAATCAGCAAACTTTAGGCCATAGCCAACTATAATTTCCACACTATACTTATCAGATACTTTATAATTACAAATACAATACAACATTGGTAAGATATTTAAACAGACAGTACTAAAATACATCAGGAATTTTTGACTTAGTGTATGTTACAAAATTTGTGTTAACTTTCAAAAAGGTTCTGGTATAAATTAGAACTATGTGGTCTGATAAACTGACTTCCAACAAAAGAAAAGGTTATTTTATTTCATGTATTTATTTATTTTTTTGAGACAGGGCCTCATTCTGTTGCCCCAGGCTAGAGTGCTGTGGGATCATAGCTCATAGCAACCTCAAACTCCTGGGCTTAAGAAATCCTCTTGCCTCAGTCTCCCAAGTAGGTGGGACTACAGGCAACCACCACAATGCCTGGCAAGTTTTTCAATTTTTACTTATTATTTATTTTGAGACAGAGTCTCATTATGTCACCCTCAGTAGAGTACTGTGGTGTCACAGCTCACAGTAACCTCAAACTCTTGGGCTTAAATGATTCTCTTGCCTTAGCCTCCCAAGTAGCTGGGACTACAGGAGTCTGCCACACGCCTAGCTATTGTTTCTGTTGTAGTTTTCATCACTGTTTGGCAGGCCCAGGTCAGGTTTGAACCCGCCAGATTCCGTGTATATGACTGGCTCCCTACCCACTGAGCTATGGGTGCTGAGCCAGTTTTCCAATTTTTAGTAGAGACAGGGTCTTGAGCTTCTGAGCTTATTAAGCAATTCACCCACCTCAGCCTCCCAGAGTACTAGGATTACAGGTGTGAGCCACTGTGCCTGGCCAACTAGATTTTTTTCTTAGAAGTAGAAAGGATTGATAACTGGTAATTGATGCCTCAGTTTCCTCTGAACCCTATCACTTATAACTCAGTCCGGCATGATAGCATCACCTTTAGCCAATCTGATTTTAAATAGAAAAATGCATCTCCTTTTAGAAAAAAGTAATTTATATCGTTTTACTGCTAGGACAGCTTTGCAGTACTGGCCCTGTTAGCAGTTTCTCCATTTGGTAAGGCAACCCGCTGTGACCCAGGCATGCTTCAGATTACATCCTCTCCCCACAGCAAAGAACAGGCAGCATTAGCTACACAGACCACATCCACTGAGAAGGAGAACATTGCAAGGCACACTGTACCTGGTTGCCGAGGAAGAACTACAGACAATAAGAATAAAGGATGGAGAAAATGGAGGAGAAAAAAAGAGAACATTTTGTCAAATTAACACTAAGGAATGAAAATCATATCATCACATTACCAGTCTTCTGGCTGAGTGATATACATATTAAACATATTCTTACCAAGCTCCCGCCATAGGGGTGTGGTTTTACAAATTAAGAAGGCCTAACTTTCCACTCTATGTTGTTTACTCATTTCTCTCACAGGTAGTTAAAAACAAAACAAAACCCAACAAGTAAGCATGAGGCTATTTGGGGCTGTATTAACTGAATGTGCTGGGTTGGATTCAAGGCAGACTCTGCCCAGTGCTCCTTAGTGAAGTGTCCCATGGTGTGGGTCTACTGTACTGTGAGGACATTTCTGATGTACTACTGGAAACTGATTTCCTGTGTTTCTCCCTCAGTGTACACAACTATGCGATTTAACATGGCCACCTACATCTTCTTTGCCAGTCACAGATATTTCTTAGGACTTTAAGACAATCCTGATGAGCTGCTAAATACATCTCACAGTTGCCCCAGCCCTCTTTGGTCTGGCAGCCACCCAGGCTCATGAGGACCAGCTCACTGGGGTGAGTGGTCAGTTATTAGATATAACTGTTTCCCAAGGTGCCTTCATCTCCCGAAGGACTTTGGTTAGCAGTGAAGTGACAGTTCTGAAATGTCTACTGTCCTAGAACTTGAGTAAAAGCTATGGTCTAGATGTGGCACTAGTTTTCAGATAAACAGGACACCTGACATTTGGACTCTGTAGAGATGAGGGCCAGAGAGTGATCACATCTCAAATTCTATGAGCTTTGGGCTTATGAACATCAGGAGCAAGAAGGCAGGATCATCCAGCAGACTTTTCAGGCCACAAATGAAATAGCCACCACAAAGGATTCTTCCTTACCCGGTATTTATTCTCTCCAATTTGCTCCACTTGAAACCTTTTTGCACATTTGCACTGAGCCACTTGTCTCGTGACCTATTGATAGTGAACAAAAAGAAAAGTGTAGAACAAGACTTCCTATTCAAAGAAACAGAGATTTTATTTTTCTTGAGACAGAGTCTTACTGTATTGCTTAGGATAGAGTGCCATGGTGTCAGCCTAGTTCACAGCAACCTCAAACTCCTATGCACAAGCAATCCTCCTGCCTCAGTCTCCTGAGCCACTGAGACTATAGGTGCCCACCAGAACGCCCATCCAACTCTTCCCGTTTTTAGTAGAGATGGGGTCTCCCTCTTGCTCAGGCTGGTCTTGAATTCCTGAGCTCAAGCAATCCTCCTGCCTCAGCCACCCAGAGTGCTAGGATAACAGGTATGAGCCACTGTGCCTGGTCAAAACCAAAAATTTTTACATATAAACAGAGAAGCTAATCATTATTCATTTTTTTGGCACTTCAGTCTTTTGACATATATATTTATCTTTTGTTTCAAATTAATACATGTTGCTCTTACTAGGTGAAATAATTGAGGCACTGAGAAAAAAAGGCTTGAAAGTATTTCTTATTAAGTAGCTACACAACACATTCTTCAATCCTACTTCAAAATTCCTTCAGAGAAAAGTGCTAATATATAAGCATCAGAATCAAATGACTAACAAATTATGCAAAAAAGTAAATTTCAACCTAGGAGTCTGGAATTTCTTAGATGTCAGACCTGGTGTGTACCAAGGCCACTTCCAAGAACTGCCTCATTGCCTCTCCAAGATCTTTTATCAGCATATGTGGTACTAATGAATTTGCAAGTTTCAATGTGATACTATTTTTCTTTCTTTCTATTTTTTTTTTTTTTTTTTTGAGATAGAGTCTCACTCTGTCTTCTTGGGTAGAGTGCTGTGGCATCGTAGCTCACCACAATCTCACACTCTTGGGCTCCAGTGATTGTCCTGCCTCAGCCTCCCAAGTAGTTGGGACTACTGGTACTCACCACAATGCCTAGCTAATTTCTCTA